AGATATGACATTATAGATGCAAACATATTACAATGGATAAATTAAATAAGTTTTTAAACCTTTTTAAATTTTGAATTAGAAAATGCTCCATAATAATTGCTTTAGTAAAAATTTGTATTTCATTTGTCGCACAATTAAAATTCATTTTGTCATCAAAATTATTCATAAAAGGAAGGGTTTCTAAATATAATTATGAAACGCTCATAAGTTTAGCTTTCTTATTGTGAATATAATTTTATTTTTATTTGTCGGATTAAAGAAAGTGTTATCTACCTAAGGAAAGGGGCTATCGTGGAGTGCCTTCAAAGAAATTTGGCTGATATACCCTTTATATATGTGAGAGAACAAAGAAAGTTCATGCAGTCAATCTGTTCATCGGAATTTGAATCCAGGTTAAATTATCAGAGTTCAAGAAATATTATCCGCCCGGCCGCTAGTTATTATTTAGAACATACAAACCAAAATTTCACTCAAGTAAGCAGTAATCGTGAAATGTATGTCATTTAGAAATAACATTAAAATTAATTTTCATCACCTGAAACATTTATATTTATTTACACTGCTTTAAAATGTATATTAAAAATTGGAATAAAGTGATAAAAACACTTACAAAAAGAATGAAACAAAGACAATTTCAAATTCAAATTGAAACCAAATTAAAAAGAATTTAATCAGAAATAAGTGAATAAATTATGCATTTTTAAAAACATTCAAGCTTTTAAAATAATTTCCAAAGAATTTTAGCAGCCAAACTTACCCCCCCCCCCCCAAAAAAAAAAAAAAAAAAAAAAAAAAAAAAAAAAAAAAAAACACTTTGATATTTGACCTCCAAGTTGTATTTGCCAGGAAAAAACCTGAAAATGCTAACCCGTGTGAATCGAAGTAACAAATTGTTTTTTTTATTTTCTCCTCTCAATAATATATTTCCTAGAAGATACCAAATTTGCCAACAAGACATGTGAATTCAAAACATGCACAATTTACCTAATCCATTAGCAGAATCCCACAAAAGAACGCTCTCTACGGGGTGTCATAAAATAGTAATCAAGCCTCAAGCACTAGAATTCTTACCCCTGCCACCAACGACAAACTGTCTTGAGCCCCCCAGTTGCTGTATACTTAGTTCGAGACACATATGTCCCAGCCCCTGGGAAAAGGTTAAGGACTGGAGTAACATTGCCTTCCTTATCATTGATAAAAAAATTTCAAACACGGTCTACATTTTCATCTGTTACACCTTAAGTATTGTTGATACTCTGTTTTTCATCCTGCACGTCCTTCGCCCTCTCTTTGAAGGTATTATGATTATAAAGATCTGTATTCTTTGTAGGTACTTGTTCTTGAAGGCTATCTCCATGTCAAAAGTTTCAGTTCCAGATTTTCTGAGTCACGTGCAAAATTTGATGGTGTATCACTGAAAGCTGCATTTTTTTTTTTTTTTTTGTGATACATTACTTCACAGAGGTTCACTAGATTCGTGATCCACTCATTCACATTGATGTTACTTGCGATGCTTTGCTAAGACATCGCACTGCATTTTCTCACCAAAAGTTTTCTCATTAGTTGTGCATATGCAACATGCCAGAGGCAATTTCGTTACTTAGAGGCCTGACCCTGTAATGTGAAGGACGGAGGTCCAGGGAATATGCTGGGTGAGGTAAAATTTCCAGGCCAAAGTCGGAGTACTTTTTCTCAAGGATGTTAAATTATTTGATTATAACAAAGCACATGAGAGTTATTTGCCTTTGTGGAGGACTGCCTGAGTGAAACTGGCTTATATTCATATTACACATGAGGAAAAACCGCAAAAACAAACCATGCAGTCTGCACATTCACCTTGGCTGAAATCCATATTAGCTACCAGCATTCAGTGGTATCAATGATCTTAACTACTTAATCACTGGTGTGGCTTTTTGCTGAGTAATTAAAATATCATGAGGTCTACCATTATCACAGTGAACTGCTGTCTGCTTACATATCAGTTTTTCTCAAACTATCTGTTGGCAATGCATGTTAGCGTTAATGATGTTATGTAAGAGCAGCTTACCGTGGATTACTGCCACCATGTACTTAACAATAACAACAGGTGCTATTTGTCTACAGATTGAATTTTATTTTGATGATGAATATTTTTCTGCTCCATACACATGATGAATGTTTTGCCATGTGAGGAGTGCAGTATTGCCTCTATCAAACTTATAACAAACAATATCTAATATGCTGCATTCCATGGCTTTTTTAAGCTATTTAAAAAATTTTTATAAATGATTTACCCTTTACCAGTATGCTGCCTCCGTGTGTGTTTTTTAGGAATTTATAGTGATCACACTGTTATATACAACAACAAATTCATTCATAATCTGCTTATCTGCAAATGAGTAGAATTGTTTTCACTCTACTAATATTTCTAATTTAAGTTGCAGTAGAAGTCAGTAACTTGTACTCAAGTCTTCATATTCTTTGCAGACAGAGGAATCTTTTTTTTTATTATTAGTTAAGAAAACTACCTGTTTCTTTGATATTCTCAGAAAATTATTCTTTGCAAAACCATCTGTTTAGTCATATATGTATCTCAGCTCAAACTGTTCTTCAGTTTTATTCCATTGCTCTTTTTATTTTTTAATGATAATAGTATGAAAAATAAAAATAATTCTCTTGTATGTACTTCAGTAGACAAACTTCTGTGCTGTCTTTGAAAAAATATGTAGAGGTTTCTAAATATAAAATAATTTTAGTTTCTTACATCCACCATATTGCTGTTTGGAAATTTTTTTCAAAAGAAAAAGAATAATGACTGATAATTAAAAAAAAAAATTACATATTGCTTGCTTATGCAATTTATATTTTAATTAGGTCCAAAATTATACCCAAAATTAATTAATTAATCTACTTGCATGCTTTTCGTTTCTTTTGGCCTAATAGAAATTTTATGGCAATCACGCTTAAGAATATATTTAAAGCAGTTTTTTCCTTTTGATATTTTACAACAGAATTTGTTATTCTTACAAAAATGTAATTTCTTTTCTTCTGTTGTAAGCAAATCCCATAAATGCATACTTTAAAATTGGGTTCAAAGGAAAATATTTCTCAGTTTATGCATAAACTGTGAAACAAACTGTTGGAACTTCGAATACAACAAAAAGAATGCATAAAAAAAAAATGATATTCTTGCTAAAACTGAAAAAACCGCTGTGCGCATCCTTGCCAAAGTTAAGCACATTTTGAAAATTTGGTAACTTTTACTAAGGGGGTTGCATTAATGCATAAGTACGGTGTTTTGTTTTGTTTGTTTGTGTGTTTGTTTAATACACTCTTTTGCAAAAAAGTCAGAGCACCATGAAGGAAGTGGTTGTTTTTGATGAAATTGAATATGTGTATAGCTCATACACAGATAATAAAATGATTAAAAATCAAGGTCATAGTACCTTTTCACGGCTCACAATAACCCATTGATTGAGTGTTCAAATTAGTAGTTGGTCGAACTGCCCCTGGTGGCAATGCATGCTTGAATTCATCAAGGCAAGGAGTGTAGAGGTTCCTAATGTCATTCTACAGCACATTTTGCTAGGCATTCATCAGTTGTCGCTCCAGATCTGCTATATTTTGTGGTGCCCGAATCTGGCAGCCTACCATGTTCCAGACATGCTCGATTGGTGAAAGGTGAGGTGACCTTGCTGGCCAAGGAAGAGTATCAACCACATAGAGATAGCCCGGAGATATGCGAGCGGTATGTGGCCTGGCATAATCTTGTTGGAAAATGGTCCCAGGATGACGTGCCATGAAGGGTAATGCAAGTGGCCGCAGGACTTCATCAGCATATCGTTGAGCTGTTAAAGATGTACGGAGGATGACTAAAGATGATCTGCTGTCATAAGAAATAGTGCCCCACACCATCATACCAGGAGTTATGGCTGTATGCCTTTGTAAAACAAAGGCTGATTGGGACCGCTGGTCCTGTCCTTTCCAGACACAAACACAGTGGTCATCTGCTTCAAGTGTGAAGCGGGATTCATCGCTGAACACTATACGAGGCCAGTCTGACCGCAGCCATGATGGCAGTCTGATGGCGACACCACTCCAGAAAACTCCGCCAATGTTGTGGGATCAAGGGCAAACATCTTAAAGGCCTCTGGGAGCATAACCCCGCCTCAGAACAAGCGGCATGAGCTGGTGGACGGTACCACGGGAAGTATAGACATGGCTGTGGGGCAGTTTGGACCCGGCGAACATTCATCCTATCTTGCCTCACATTTGTGCTCCTCGGCCCTCCAGAACCTGCATTTCGTCAGCAATTTCCTTGTAAAAACCATTGCTGCCAGTATCTTTGTACAGCATAGTCTGTACGCTGCAGATGGTGGCTTATTGCTCGGTATGATCACCTAGCTTCATGAAACCCTACAATGCGACCATGTTTGAAGTCATTTAGTTGTCTGTAAGATCTTCGATATTGTCGTAATGGCATCTTTAGTTCCTTTTTTATGGAATTACAATGGCAACAACAAAAAAAGATAAATTTTCCGCATCTGTTACTGGTTTTGTATTTTGTAAATTGCGCACTAGAAATGTGTGCTATGATCACAATTCCTGTTCATTTGCCATGAAACTTTGATCATTTGCATGTTCGATTAAGATGTTTTTGCATACCAAATTTTGTCATGATCGTAAAAGTCCTTGCTGTTTCAATATTTTTGCAAAACAGTGTATAAATATAATTTGGAGAAAGCAACTTCCTTATAAAGCAGCCAATCACTCTACCTTATTGCCTTCTGGCAGTATTTCAAATTTGCATGTTACTAATTTAGTGATTAAGTTTTACAAATTAAGTTTTGCAATGAACTAAAGGGGCTGCTTTAATAGGAAACAGCTATAAAAATTATATATGGAAAAGTGTTACATAAATTTAATACGCAATGTGTACTTTCATGTAAAATGTACTATGTGATGTTTTTCTCTTTCTTTTTTAAACAAAGATTAATATATTATTTCATGCTTTTTTACAGCGAGCAAGTTTTTAAATCTCATTTGAAAAGACTGCCAGTTTTACCTCTTTCAACTCTCAAAGAGTACCCTTCCATTGCTAGCTGGTATGACATTGTTTATTTGTAAAAATTTTAATTAGCGTTATAGATGTTGACGCATAAATTATAATATTGCTGTTTTTATTAATTTGATAGTAAAAGATTGCTCAAGGATTAATAGATCTTAGTAATTTTAGCTGGCTGGAAAATGTTCCATTATCAAAAATGATCTAGGAAGAAAAATCTTAGTTTATAGTGTCAACAAGCAAAGTTTAATGTTTGAAAACTAAGAAGCCTTCAAATCTGATATTGTATTCATAATCAAATCTAATTTCCGTTGTATATTTTATTAAAATACATTACCTTTGCATTTATTTTTCAGTGAGAGTAAAGTTCTTGAACATTATAAAAGTCTTGCTGGTCAGACTAGAGGTGCTGCTATTGTGAAGTAAGTTATTTTCATAGTACAAAAATATATTCCGGTATTTAGTTAAACTTATTTTATTTATAATTGTTTGTCATAATGCTGCTAATAATCAAAAATTAATTTTTACATTGTTTCTTAAAGTACAAGGAAAGGTAGTTTGGGAGATTTCCTGTGTTGAGCTTTTGATATATTTTTTCTGATGTTTATCTTAACAATATAATAAAAAAATTGGACAATGAAACCTAAAATTTATTATATCTATTTCTGTATAATTATTGAGTTATGCCTAAAATTAATTTACTAAAGTCATATGTATTTTAAAATTATGTAACATTCGTAATGAATGAATCAAACAATAAGCATGATTTTGGAAATATCATGCTTATTGTTGTCATGCTTTATACTTAATATGTTAAGCACTTTGTTGGTCATTGATGGCCAGTGATTTTAAATTCATGACCTCATTATTAAAAGCTAATTTAACACTCTGAAGAGCTTGCCTTTTTGAAATTATTGGTGAAGAATTGTATTTAAACAACATTTATGAGCTAGCTTTGTGGGATTATTTATTTTACTGTTATTTTTCATAACCTTCCATTCCTTAGGATAATATTTAAGTAATTAAATACTAGAATAAAACAAAATACTTTAAATGATGTGTTAATATGTACTAAGTTGACAGAAAACTTCATAACTGAATAAAAGCTGTTGTATCAGAGGATTAAATAATTTGATATTTAAAACTAAAATGTCTTGTCAAAAAAGTATATAAAGAAGTGATAGATTACTTTTATTAATATTATAGTGATATCTATAATATTAATAAAAGTAATCTATATATAGTTAATTTTTTATAATTATAAAAAGTAATAACTTTTATTAATATTATTGAATATAATGAAATGCAATAATTCAGAAGTGACTTTAGTGGGTTTGTTAAAACCATTTCAAGCAGAGACTGTGATTTTCATCTCGTATGTAATGAAATATTACTTTCATTGAACAGTGTTCGACACTGTTTCTTTAAAATAATTTTTGTCTTTAATATTTTTGAAATTTTTTTATTTTGGATATTCTTCTACCCCTTATGTAATTTTAATTGTTTAAGTGTATTATTTTATCATATTAGTTTTTATTGCATTGCTATTGTATGACTAGTTTGGCAGTATTCTATGATGTAAATGGAAAGGAGATAAAATTGTTCCTGGCTTGGTGCTTAATTGGTTAATATAGTAATATAATATCATAATTTTTTAACAAAAATGTCTTCAAACAATAAACTTATATATTATGAGGAAGAAATATAATAGTAAAATTAAGAATGCAAGATATATTTTTCAGTATATTTGCTAATGAATTTTTCCTTTTTTAATAGCTATCTCAGCATTGTTGAAAGTTTACCAACATATGGACAACACTATTATGAGATAAAAGTATGATTTAATTATTGTTCATTATTTGATAGTTGTTTTAATATATTAAATTTTGTGTGCAAACTATATTATCTTTCATTTTTTGTAGGATAAAAGTGGAAATCCGTGTTGGTTGGGTTTGAGTTACAGAGGTATTAGCCAATATGACAAAAATGATCGTCGTACACCCAGAAAGGGTATGCCTTTATTAAATGTTCCTGTCTTTGATTAATTTTTTTTATGTTTAGCAGAGCCTATTAAAATTATGGAATTAAAAATGTTTTTTAATCATTTATTTTGTACAGAAGCTTTGTTTAAATGAGCATTGTTTGTAGTTGTTTCTATATTTTCTGTACATGGTACTATAAAATATTTTTTTAATTCTGTACAAAGTATTAATAAAAGAAAAAGCTCTTATTTTTCTGTATGTGGAAGGTTCGAAAAGAGAAGTAATATTTTCTTCCTTTTATATGCATCTTTATGTAGGTTTTTCTATGGAAACAACTGGAAAATTTATACTACCGTGACAGGAAATTCACTGTTGAAGTTCATGAAGCTCGTAGGTAAGTACTAATTGGTACAAGTTACAAATACCTCAGTGTCAGAAAAATTATGTAAGATTTGTGTATATATAGACCCAGCTGCAGTATATCTGGCACAGTAGGTGATCAATGTTGCTGGTACCCCATATATAAAAATATTAATGATTTCAAGCTGTAACATTAATTTGAAATATATCATATTTAATGCATATATGCAGTCTGTCACACTTGCAACATATTTTAAATCTATTTTATATCTTTCATAAAACGTGGTCATGCATGAGATTATCATACGGCAGTTTTTGAATAGGATAATTCTTTGTCAATAAATTATTTATAATAAATACCATTTACCGTGTGCATGTGAAAGTAGAAAACAGCTTTTATTGTTTTTCGCTAGAGATGATTCTATTAAGTTGCCCAAATCTGTGTTCATCTCGTCAGCATTAATATCAAATTAATGGTTGCTTACTGGAGAATACTCACCATGCCAAACACCTAAAGTTGTTGCTTATGTGAATAAAATGTTGAAGTAAATTGAAGGAAATTTTTGTGAAACTACTTTTTTGGATTGTTCGAACTTCTTCGTAATGAAAACACTGAATGTGCATTTATTTCATCAGAATGTAATAGTTTCGAATATAAATTCATCATCTAAAGTTCTTGCCAAATGTCAAGACTGAATCACACACGTTTAAAAGTCAGTTCCATACAGTGAGTCAAAAAATTTTCTATATCTTTATAAAAAATGAAATTTACTTTCAGTTTACGTGATTAAAATAACCTTTCTGCCCACCACACTTAATAGACACTACTGTACACTATTTTAATTTTATCACTTCATAGAGACATCATTTCTTTTGAGAACAACTTGGTTGGTGCCTCAAAAATTAAGCACACTTCGTGGCTGCGTGTGACACTTCTACTTTTACGTAATTATTCTTGTAAAATATATTTTTCATTATTCATTATTAGGGTTGTCCACACTCTCAGTAGTTTCAATCTTTATGAGGATGCTATAGAAGAACCTGTTGAAGAATTTGATGATCTTTCCAATGCCATCTGCGATCCTACTACTCAGTAAGTGTTATATAAAAAATATAGCTATTATTTTTAAGGTTTTCACAAAAAATCTGTTTTCTCTTTTACATAGTATTTAGAAATTATTTGCTATAAAGATTTCCATTAAAAAAATATCCTGTTGAAATGATATTTTTATCTTTTGTAGTATCACAGGTCTTTTATAATTAAGTACAAATACTGAAATAACGAGAAATCTTTCTTTTTAAAATGTATGTTATTTATACTTAATATTACTCAAAAATCATTGTTAATCTAACGACAATGATTTTTAATAGACATATATGTTTAGTAGTGTATATTTTAATGAGGTACATCTTTTGCAGTAGTTTTAAACAGCTTTTAGAATTTCATGTTTTGTTTTTTAACTAAAAAATATTAGATTGCAGTATTTCTACTAAATATTATGTCTATTCTTAACGTTATCCATATTCCTATACCCACTCAATTTTAGAAACTTCCATTTTTGCATAGCAGTGGACAAGTTATCCCTAATTAGCAGTGCACTTTGTATAAATAAAAAGTATAATATTAAAGTAATGATTACAGTTGTCTTCTTTTAAATAGGAGTAACAGTAACATTATTAAATCTATTCATGTGTGCTTTCTAATGTAGTAAATTTTTTTAAACATTCCCTTCAGAAATAATATTCATTGTATAGCCCTGTCAGTCTTCTAGAGGCAAAATTATTAAAATGTGGTGGTGATATGAGAGTAAATGCAACAGTAATCATATTTACTATTATATAATAAATATAACATTTAAAAAAAATTAGACTTTTCTTATGTAGTGAATATTATGTTAATTGGCAGTGCTGAAAGATTGACAGATTAGACCAAATAGAAACTTTAAAATATTATTTCGTTCTGCCTTATTAGTTGTCATCACTAACTTCTAATTTGGAATAAAATACCCTTTGTGTAAATTCTAGTTTAATCTTTGTTCATTGGATTAAAATCTAATTTCTTTGACCACATTTCATGTTATTTTTATGCTGGATTTGAGCATTTTATCTTTCTTTTCTCCTCTTTCTTCTTCTTTTTTCCCGCAACATTTTTCAAGTCTATCTTCTGTTTTTCAGGGTATCTGTCAGTCGAAGAGCTCTTGCCCCTGCAAGTGTTACTGTATATGTATGGTATGCTGCATCACCAAATATTGCAAAATGTATCTGGTCGATGGCAATTGCTCAACACCAATTTTTTTTGGACCGCAATCACAAAAAAGTAAAAATTATATTGCTTAAAAGATTTTGGTTAAATTTTAAAACGCATGTGAATGTTCGTAAATCAAACTCACTTTAAAATGATTTAATAGTGATTAATTCAGGGATTACAGTTTTTAATTATAAGAGGAATTGTATTATTAAATTATTTAATAGCAGTGTATTTAAAAAAGGGCATTATTTTCATATTCTGCTTTCCCTTAAGAATCGTGATTGTGTATGTAAATAAATATTTTACTATCCTCTCCTTACCTAGTTTAAAACACTTTTAATATTTCATAATTCTCTTATTACCTATTAATTAATTAATAGGTAAGTACCTATTTAATTACATAAGATGACTGGCTGCTGATATTTTGTTAGATGTATCTAATGTGTTTATCAATCTGTCTTCTTAAACGCCTCTTAATATCATTTTCCAACTTGATATACATGTACATCATTCAAAATTCATCTAATCACTTCAGACTTGACATGAATTTATTTTAAGAGACATAAAGTTAATGGTAACATACATGAAATTAATGTAGCCTGTTACAAACTAAATATGCAGAAGGTACATATATATATAAATATAGCCTGTTGCAAAATAATATGAAGAAAATATTACAGTAGATACGCAGATCGCATTTATGAGCCGTTTTCATTGCTCTCAGATCACATGGCTCTAAGTTTACTGCATTACTGTATTTAATTTTTTAATTTTTTTTTTTTTTAATTTTTTTATTAAGGATTAAATTTGCTCCTATAGGCTCTTATTTTGCATGCTAGAAATTTACATGAATAATTTTATTGAGTTGAGGAGTGCATGGAGGAGTGAATTTTATTAATTAATTTTGGATTAATGCATTTTTCATTTGATATGTTTTACATAAGAAATATTCAATTTTTATTAAATTTTCATTTTTCAAGTATTTCAAGCACTGTAATATTATATTTCAGAGCCGCACTTGTGTTGTAAGAAGTTTAAGTCAAATTGCATCTGAACTCTGTCGAAGTGTTCAGTCTCTCTCATCTGCAAGTTCACAGTCAAATATCAGTAGAAGTAATAGCTCCACTAGTTTGCCAACTATTATAATTGAAGGTATGTGTTTATTGTGAAAGACATTTGGGAGATTCAAAATCTCTCTCTCTATATATATATGTGTGAGAGAGAGAATAGGTATGTTATAGATTTTAAATGATCATTGTTAATCATTTATATATTAATTTAAGAAGAGAAAATCGCTGTTTTTTTGTTGTATTATTTAGAATATCGTATATGGGATGTATGTATATATATATAGGATGGGAAATAAAAATTCCAGAATTAGCTGTGTGCATAAAATTCTACAAAAATTTGATGAAAAATTATTATTTGATATATATTTAATCCGTTTCAGTAATGTATGAGCTTTTCCATTTGCATTGGACAGCTGTTCACTGTCAAAAATAAAAATTCACATTTTTCAACATCTCATATTTGATTCATATTAATATTGCAACAATTTGCAGAACTTTAATAAATTTCCTTTTATTTCATTAATTTTTACACACACACAAACAAACAAACAAACAAAAATATATATATATATATAATAATTTGACTGATAAGTTTAACATTGATCCTCTATATTTAGAATCAAATTTATGAACCCTGTATTTGTTTCCTTCTGTTTTCTTTTTACACTGAATTGCACTTTAAGTTTTTAAATGATTTAAAAACAAAGGGAATTTTTAATGTTAACTGTATTGTCTGTGGGTTCTGTGTTCCTCATATGAAACATGCCTGCATGTGTGGGGAAGAACGCGAAAGACAGCCATACACCATTGGGTATCATTCGACCGCAATAAAGCAGGATGGCGCTGTCACAGTGCCTGCACAAAGTGGAGATGAGCCTGTCCTCTCAGTCTGGTCCCAGTAAATATGGAGAAAAGGTGTGTTTTGAATTTTTGGCCAAAGGAGGAAGTGAAAGCAGTCATCAGATATGAATGAACATGTGAAGTATCAGGAGCAGAAATCCATAACTGCCTCTGGAAATCTATGGGCCAGATGTGACGTCGAAACAAATGGTGTAGAGATGGAATTCAGCGAGGGCTGGCAGCAAGTGCAGCAAGGCCACATCTATGGAGTGGAAACATCCATCATCACCTGTCTGAAAGAAGCTTAAAACAACTTCCTCTGCAGATAAAGTGCTCCTCACAACTTTCTGGGATGCCCAGAGAGTTTTGTTGCTGGACTTTTTGGTAGTTAGAACCATCAATGTTACGGGGTACTGTCATACCCTGTCATGGTCCGACCATACTCTGCGACGGCAACACAGAATCGTATTCAAACTCTTGGTTGGGAACACCCTGACCAATCGCCATACAGTCCTAATCTCGCAGCCAGCAACTTCCATCTGTTTCCGGCTTTGAAGAAGAATCTCGTCAAAAGGCACTTTGGAAGCAGTACTGAAGCCACACAAGCCTATCAGCGCTTCTTCCATATGTAGAGCTCTGATTTTTCCTTGGAGGGCTTTTTGAAGCTTATAAAGTGGTATGACATATGTGTCAACATGCTTGATAATTATGTGGAAAAATGAAGTTATGTCATATATTTGATATCTATTTTATTGTATTTTTTTTTTGTTGTTTTTTTATATACACCTGTGTGCACAGTCGCCAGGGGAAGCTTATTTTCGAACTTTCCCTTGTAGTTCAAGATTAACATAAAATTCAATGACATCTCCATATTTTCACAGAGGTGTATTCCTTACCCTTTAAGACAAAATTTTTTAGGTGTTTCTATTTGCTATGATTAAATATTGAAGCTCACGACTTTTCCAGGCTCAGGCATGTGGATGTATAACCTGTACAAAACCCAATGTGGGGCTGCTATTTCAAATATTGCAAAATAGAAATAAAGGCAGTCTTAAAAGTTTTTAAATAGTCACTATATAAAGAAATTTTGTTTGACAATATTTTAATCATAAATGTTTTGCATTTGTTTGTTTTAATAATGTTTGCTTTTGGTTTCCTTAAACTAAAGAAGTTTGTTTTGTTCCAATTAGGAGAATTAAGTGAAGAAAGCAAGGCAGCTACCATCGAAATGTTAACTGCCCTTCAATCACGAAGGGATGCACTCCAAGATGCTCTTAAGAAAAAAACAGAGGAACTCAAAGCACTTTGCTTAAAGGAAGGAGTGAGTTTGATGTTTCTTAAAGTTGACATTGTATTTGAGAAAACAAGCATGCTCCAACTTTTTAAAAAATTTTAGTTATCACATATATTATGGAAATTTTTTTTAAAAACCTTCTTTATAAAGTAAGACTCCTCTTAACATGGGGAATATGTCATTGCTAAACAAAACAGCGTTAGACAATGTTAAACAGCATTCTTAACATGTAAATAAAGAGGATAACAGAGAACAGAGAATAAAAGAATTTATCAATTTTTTTGGGGGGGAAGGAGTATTTTGTAGCATTTATTGTTAAATACATTTTCTTACATTAATTGTAGAATTATTTATTACTAATATCAATTTTTATTCATAAAACATTCATGAAAAGTATTAAAAAAAAAAAAAAGAGTTTGTGTAACGAAGTAGTGTTATGTGATGAGGAAGGTTCTTTCACATTTGACCTTTTTTTTTTTTTTTTTTTTTTTTTTTGTGTTTGTATGTCCGTATGAAGAAACCATTGCATTTTTTTCCTCATTCTAATTGATTTGTAATTTTGTTTCATTTTCTTTACCCCTTTCATTCACCAGGTAGTTTCGACTCCAAGAAAATGCATCAATAACACTTTGTCTTGCCTTTGAATTTATGTCAACTTATTTGTAATTTCCATTCTAGTGGCTAAAGCTTTTTTTAAAAAAAATCTATTGAAAGTTTCTTTTGATCCATATCTCCAGAAACACTAATTTCATCATCTTCGTGAGTTTGTTGTACAACTGATTTTTTAAGGTCATTGTTAGAAAGACTTTTACAATTTGTAACTTGCAACAATTCTTCAATATCCTGCCATATAATATCCAGCTCTATTTCATTAGTTAGCTTGACCATTTTTTTGGCATAGCAATGAATTATGGTGTCAGCATCCTTCCTTAGCTCTGACCATGCATTCTTACATACTCTTTTCAAACATATCTCAACACCTTTTTTCAGGAAAGATCAATGTTATCTAAAACATGCATGATTTGTAGTTTTTCAAAAAAATCTAATGGATTGTTTATCTTGTCTATCAGTTTTATCAAACAGTTTTCAGAATGTCTGCCACAGATAATAAGCTTTAAAATTTGATATTAAATCTTGATCCATTAGTTCAATTAAAGTTGTACTTTGGGGCAGGAAAACCACTTCTACTGGGATGCTTTTTGTCAAGTCAGAAAAATGCACTGTAAAGCTTTTGATTCTAGTTTTTTAAAATTCACATCACCATTTAACAGGCTGGCAGAAATGTTTGGTAAACCAGTTCATGGAAATTTTTGATAGTAGTCCAAGATATTTTTATTGGACTCCCAAATTACTGATAATGATTTTCAAATTCTCTTCATTGCTTTTAGGATCTTGGATTGATAAACAAGCAGCAGTTTTAATTTAAAGTCTTCATTAGCATTGCTACCCTCTAGAGGTATTAAATGAGCTTTTCAGCTTTAAATTCTGATGCTAATTTTTTTTCATGGGATAAAGTGTATGTTTTGGCATTCTCTTTAAGAGTGAAATTCCCTTTTAGAGGGGTATTTCATGGCTTCAGGAAGGGAATGTAGTCAGCCTTTTATTTAGCTAAGTAGTTAGTTTGTTTATGAGTTTAAAAAAAAAAAAAAAAAAAAACACTTTTATTCAAATTTCGGTATTTACAAACATTTTCTATATTTTTTGTTATTTAATTTATAAAACACATTTGAAAATAAACTGTATAAACTAATAAATGTATGTATTTTTTCCCACGTTTTGGGAAGGAGGGGGGAATGTTCTTCTAGCAGTGATGTAAGAAATGCATGGAGTAAAAAAGGTTAAGAACCTCTGGTCTAGTACGTTCTGTATTCACAAAGATAAGATGTTACAAAGGCTCTCTTTTTTTTTAAATATAAATTTTTACCTAATTATACGAGGGCCATCCAGGAAGTAGATTACGTTTCCGTCTGTGTCCGCTAGGGGCGGGGCTAGCGCGGCCATCTTGGGGTCAGAGCATTGCGCAGCTCAGTCTGCATCTAGCCGTGCTAGTGAGAGGTTCGTGCTGTGCTCCGTTCAGATACTGTGACGGTTTGAAATGTCTGCGTTAATTGAAAATCCCGCGAGCTGCGAGGTGCGCTCAGTAATAAGGTTTCTGACTGCAAAAAACTGTAAACCGATAGAAATCTATCGGCAGCTTCGTGAAGTGTATGGGGACAAACATTATCACTGAAGGTGGAGTGCGTCAGTGGGTCATAAGATTTCAAAATGGCCGAACCAATGTTCACGACGAAGATCGAAGTGGGAGACCCAGCATAGTGACCGCCGAACTTCTCGAAAAAGTCGATGCTAAAGTCCGTGAAAATCGAAATTTCACAATAACGGAACTTTCTTTGAGTTTTCCACAAATTTCGCGAAGTTTGTTGCACGAAATCATCAGCGAAAAGCTTGGTTACCACAAGTTTTGTGCAAGATGGATTCCAAAAATCTTGACAGAGGACCACAAAAATCAGCGAATGGCTGCAGCGTTGAACTTTTTGGACGCTTACCATAAGGATGGTGACTCTTTACTCGATCGCATCGTTACTGGTGACGAAAGCATGGGTGAAACATGTGAACTGTGAAATGAAATTGCAATCAATGCAGTGGGGGCACACAAGTTCTCCCCAAAAACCCAAGAAATGCATGCAAACAATGTCGGCAAGGAAGATGATGGCGACTGTTTTTTTTGGGACAGAAAAGGTGTAATTTTGGTGGACTTCCTGGAAAGAGGCACTACAATAAACTCTCAAAGGTATTGCCAAACTCTCCAAAAACTCAGAAGAGCAATTCAAAACAAGCGCAGAGGAATGTTGAGCTCTAAGATCTTGTTGATTCACACGACAACGCCCGGCCCCACACGGCAAATGTCACTCGTAAAGTTCTTGAATCTTTTAAGTGGGAGTTGTTTCCTCATCCGCCGTACAGTCCCGACCTGGCACCGAGCGACTTCCACCTATTCCCAGCAATGAAGAAGTGGCTGGCTATGCAGCGTTTTGATGACGACGCACAGCTACAAGTAGAGGTAACGAAGTGGTTGAAGGCGCAGGCGGCCGAATTTTTCGACGAAGGAATTTCCAAGCTCGTACATCGCTACGATAAATGCCTTAATTTGTATGGTGACTATGTAGAAAAGTAGTATTTGAGTGCTTTCATCTGTATATAATAAAATTTGTTTCCTATACTTTGTTTATTTTTTTATTCCAAAACGTAATCTACTTTCTGGATAGCCCTCGTAGTTGAAATCAAAGTAGTTCCCCTCCAACATCCGTGCATTTTTATGAAAGAATTTTCTAAAAATTAAGGGCTTCAACCCAATCATTTTTTTGGAATCGATGAAAAATGTCCCTTTACAACCTCATCAGTCTCATTTTTGGAATGAAAATGAAGGCTGTGTAATTTGTTTATATTTTAAAAAATAGCCAAAAGTCCTACATAGCAAGATTAGAAGAATAAGCTGGATGTTCTATCACTGTAATAAGTTTTTGTTTAAGAAATTTAATTGTCACTTTTGCTGAATGAGAAAATTCATTATCCTGAGGAAACATGAGTGCCTAATATTCATTTCTTGAAGAATTTCTTGGAGACACTTAATAGTGTCCCAATTAGCTATTACTATTTTCTCTTTCTCTAATTTGATGACTTTGACCAGTGCTGGGCATCTGGGGGGGGGGAATCATACATTATTTTTTTCATTGCTTGTTGTCTTTTCAATGTTGTCGGTTTGGGATTATCCTCCGAGACCTCTATACTTTACATTTTTGATGTGTTAAAACATTAAAAAAATCGTATGCATATTTCATTACCAGTTATTATTTTTAAAATATTGCAATCCACCATAATTATATAATTTTAGAATTTCTCTACTAATTTTGCTGCACTTCAGTTTTTGGTGTTCTGTTAATTTTTAGGGGGATCTAGTGACAAACTAATTTTTTTGTATGCAGTTGTTTATGAATCATTTTATGTATAGTTGCAGATCCAACATTAAATTCCATCTGTATCAATCGGTAGTTACAAAGATTATCATTGATTAACAATGTTCTTATGGTCAACACGTTTTCTAGGACTGTAGCTGACAAAGTACTTCCTGTATGTTATTCATCCAAGAGAAAATTTTGGCTACTATTAAGTTTTGTAAACCATTTGAATATGGCAGCTTCAGATGGAACTTCATTTTAGTGTGCTAACTGTGGACATTGAAGTCATTCTTCTTAATTTAGCCTCACTTTAAAATCATGAAAGAAATCATGGCACAGTAATGCTGTCATGTCAGCTGTATTTTATTTATTTATTTTATTTATTTATTTTTATTTATATTTATATTTTTTTTTTTTTTTTTGTCGTAGTCTTTTAAAATTTATTCCGCAATAGATAAATTACAGTTATTGCCACAAATCTTTGTCAGTTATTGTCACAAATCTTTGGTTGCAGACATTGAGAATTCAGACTTACACAAATTTCCTAACAAATAATTTCCTTTTAGTGCATATTGTCTGTGTCTGTCTGAAGCATTTTAGAGTTATCTATGTATTTGTAGTTGAATGCCAATTTGATGTTTCACACAGGTGTTTTTTTTCCCCCTATCTTTTCCAACACCTTTGGTCGCTATGGCCCACGTCTTTTGTCATATGAAATCAAGTCTGATGACCTGAGTGGCCAGCATGACCATCTTATCTTGTGCTATGATATAGCCCATTCAAGGTTAAAGTGAAAAATAAAGTTTAAAATCATAAGTATTAATTTCATCACATATATTACTACATATTTACATCATATATATATATGTGTGTGTGTATATATATATATATATATATATATATATACACACACACACACACGTTCATCATAAATTCATGCAAATTTCAAAAATTCATAGTAAAAGAAGTAATGCTTGGAAAAAATTTTGGGTTGCACAGATACGATCTGAGGGACATTGCCTTTTTTTCCATGTATAAAAAATATTATTCCTAAAGTAACCTAAAGAGAGT